AAAATTTTTACAGAAATAGGCTGAATTTAACTGTAGTAACGTTGCATTCAAATAAAACCATTAATCGTTTTGTACATAAATGGCATTGACATTACTTCTATCAAAGCTCTGACGAATTTCACCGCAGAGTTAATTTCTATTATGTTGATCCCTTCTCTTTCTTGCCTTAAGTTTGAAATCGAACTTTAAAAAAAAAAAGGAAGGTCGACCTTATTTGCTCTTAATGTTTCAGATAAAAACACTGGTGTGAATACATTTTAATGCATTTTATTTATTTAATGTCTGGATAATGTTTTATATATTTTTTTCCCACTTTTGTGTTGTGAACTCAGTATATTTAGTGGTTAGGCATCTTTTTCCATTTCATTCAGGCGATTGTGAAGAAAATAAAACCCCAAAAAGTTATTTAGCAAGGTCATTTAAAGTTAAACTGATGTGTTTGAGGTGAAAACTCTCTTATGTTTCAGGTTAATGCTTCACCTTCACTTCTTTAATGAAACAGCGTGCGACTCTGCTTTTGGAGTTAATGAAGTTCAGCGGTGAGGAGATTTTGGTTATGACTCATGTGCAGGGATATAATAGATCGTTTCCATTCAAGCTTTTCGAGTCGGGAGACAAAGGAAACGCAGCGTGTCCTTGTCCTCTCAGGTGAAAACACAGCCTCATCTGAACACAACCGTCCTGTTTGACAAGATCTCTGCGCCTTGAACCGCTTCTCACAGGTTAAATCACAAATTAACAATCAAGAATAAATCAGTTGTTAATTAAAGGTTGACTGAGATTAATTATGAGATGCAAATTATTGCTGAACTCATGAAAAGCTGCGTACAGGTTTGGGTCACTCCACAACAAGGTGTCTAAATGTCAGATTAACAAGACTAAATTATTTTTGTTTCTGTTTAATGTCCCATTAAGTTTGAAGGCTGTTCTTTGAATGCTGTAATTTTTTTTTATTCTAATAAAGACACCATAAAGGCTTGTTGAACATATTTATGCCAATTGCTTGAATAACTAGAAAAGCTAAATGAGAAACCGACCAAAGGAACTACAGAAAAAGTCTGTTTTAAATTTTCCAACACTTGTTTTTTGGTGTCAGTCCATGTATGAAAAAAAATAAATGTCATATTCATTTTAGCTGTTATTAAAGTGGAATAATGATACAATAAAGCTCAATAATTTTCTAAAACATAAAGTAGATAAACGGGTTTGAACAATCTAAACTTAAGAGCATAACATGGATGATATCAAAGGATATTTAATTCATTATTAATATATTTATACCATTACATGAATATATATGACATATACTAGTCTATCGATGAGCAAATAAATATATCTCAGACTGGGACTTCTTTAACTCATTTAATAGTTAACCTGTGTGTAAAAAGATCACCAGGCAGGGTGTCTGTGGTGGGACAAAATTTAAATCCACATGCTCCCCCTTTGCTCAGATAATGGGAGTGAGAAATTGTGTTTTACATCCAGCTGTGCTGATGAAACACAGCTTTACTCTTATGTCACAATAAGACCACAATCAAGTGGCTCCACCACCAGAATTTTATTTAGGCTAATAGCTGTCTCACTGTGTGGTGTGGAGGCTGCAGCGCCTCAGACTGGAAGAAGGCGAGAAGACATTAAAGACATTTCATCCCATCGCTGCGTGTCCCGAGCCCGTAACATCATCAGTGACCCCTCACACCCCCACCATGGGCTGTTCTCCCTGCTGCCCTCTCGGAAGAGGCTTCGCAGCATCTGCTGCAGGTCCGGCAGATTCCACAACAGCTTCTTCCCCACCACCATTAGACTACTAAATGTTGAATAAAATGGGTTTTTAAGAAAAAAAAAAAAACCTTAATGTTGGAAAATGTAAATCATATACCAGTTTTATGTTTACATTTGATCACTGCTGCACTTTATACATGGAAACGTCATTAAAGCTGTACTGAACAACATTTCTTTTTCTATCCACTCTGGGTGTACAATATGACAATAAAGTCTGTCTAATTCTAAGTAAGTACCTGTCCAGGAGATAATAAAGAGCTGAAAATGTTGTCTTTGGTTAATATAGTTAGATAATTTATAAATATTTCATTTAACTTATGTTAGTAAAGTTAATTTACCGTTTTTGAGTTGTGTGTGAATACAGGTCACATGTCTAAACCAGGTAGTGGATTTTAACTGAATTGTGGGTAATTGTGTGTTTTATATTGATAATTTAGCAGGATGCATCTCCTGTTTAATCTAGTTTGACCAGCTTCCTTTGAAATCTGTGTAATTAGAGACATTTGTGTGAACCCGCGATTGGAATGCTTTATATTCTTTATGTTTATAGTTTTCATGGTGTCTTCAACAAGAGAGAATAAAATGTTATAAGACATCTGTGTGATGCGTGGCCTTCCTAAAAATCCGACCTGAGTAGTTAAATATTTTTTTCTGATCCTCAAATGACCAAATATACATACTCATGTCAAAAACCTGCCAGCTTTTAATGGATTATTTACTGGTAAAACCATATAAACCCTATTTCCAACATTTTAACACCAAGAAAATGGATAATTTATTATAAAAGTCTTTATATCACCCAACTGGCTCCTTGTTCGTAAATTCATAGCCTTTAGTATCGTGCTTTTGTTCTACGAGGCACTAACTGTTCTTCTATGTTCCTTTAAGATATGAGATTTGCAAAAACTGAATGAAAAACTTTTTTCTAAAGCTTTATTGTACAGGAGGTTTGTGCACAAATTGAGTTAAAACAATATTAAAAAGTGTGAATAACTGCAGCTGACTGAGAAAAGAGGCAGTAATATACTGCTAATTCAGAAATAGTGTCATGATCTTTATGCCTTTTTAGTTTAAAACACAAAACATCAATGAAAAAGAACTAGTTAAATTTGCAGCTGTTAATTTTGGTAAGTATGACCTGGACCAACAGATTAAAGGCAAGTGATGATCAGGATTTCTTTTAAAGTTAATCTCAAGGCATCTTATATGTTACTTCCTACAGGTTAATGAAGTTTCTTTATGCATTTTAAATGGCAGAAATGTTATAAACGATGGCTAAAGTAAGAAAATGAGCATCAAAGACCAGAGTAGTTACTTTTTTATTGAATAAAGAAGACACTGAAAGGCTTTATTTTAAATGTATTTATTTAATATATCTGTGCCAACATTAATAACTAGAGAAAAAGGCCTTAGTCTGTCAATAATAGCACAGCATTTACAAATCCCAGTTTTCCAAGGCTTTGTGGTTTTGAAGTGTGAAAAAAAAAAGTAAAAGTTGTTTGTTATTGATAGAAGGCTGAAAAAAAAAAAAAACATAAAGGCCCCTTTTATGGTGGATTAGTTACAACCAAGTATAAAACATGAGGTTGCTCGGTACATCTGCTGCTTTCCTTTACATGCTTTCGATCAAATATAAAACTAGCTAAACTGAATCTTCCAGTCCTTTTCTTCTGACTTAAAAGCCTCAATAAATTAAGGCCAATGTTACTATATGTCATATAAACGGCCCACAGAGGTATAAAAAAAAAAAAAAAAATTATATATAAAATATTTATTTTTCAAACTCAAATTTCAAACGAAAAGTTTGTAACAGGATTATTGACAACTATATCCATTAAAACAAAGTGTAAACACACTGCTGTGGAAAAGTAAACCTTATTCTCATCATTTTTATTTTGTAGCTTTTATTATCGGAGATAGATAAAGCAGGTATAAAATCAATAGTTTCAAATGTTATTCAAGGAATGAAAGTTAACCAAACCAATCTGATGCTGTGAAAAAGGAATTGCTGCCTTTTTACATTTTTAATAAAGTGTAGTTAACCAAATTTTGGGGATATTTAGCTGAATTATGAAACCCCGCCCCCAGCCAAGCCAGACTACCACCAGACCATCAGAGTTAAGAAAACACTGAAACAGACCTAATTCAATAACATGAACTCTAAGGAGCAAAGCCAAACCGATGTGGAGGAATGTAAACATTTCTGCAAAGAGAAGATGATCAAAGCTTACCCACAGTGATGTCAAAGACTAACGCTTCACACACGTTTAGTCACAGTTCTAGGGGCCAATCCAGGTAACAGCTTTAGTGGTAAATTACTTTATTAGAGGGCCAATTTGGTTTGGATAGTTTTGCTTTCTGTCAAAAATCAACTTTTTTTCTGAAGTTATCTTTGTCTGATAATGAAATGTAACAGGGCAAACAGTCTCTCACAGCCCTCTATGTGGATAAAGTGGAACTCTGCTCCTCTTTAGATGTTTGTGGAGGATTATCCTCCACCCTGCAGGATTTCATCAAATCCATCTTCTAACACTGTAAGGAAACAAAAGTCAAGTATTTAGAGGCCAAATCAAGTTGCTGTGATCTGATTTTAACCCATTAACTGTGCAGGAGTTGCATCAGATCCTCAAATTCTTGTAAAAACTATCCTGTAGAAGTATTATTCAACAGTGTAAAAATGATGAAAATGATCTTACCTTACTGAACATGATGTCTTGCATGTTAAAAATAACAATACTGTGTGTGTTTGGTCATGCTTTATAAACGCAAATTTCCACATCCTCCCATTTAAACAAGATCCTTGGTAAAACAAAGCAGAATTTTCTCGCTAACAAACACAAAATCTCTCTTGCTCATATAATTCGTCTATAATTCAATCAATGTTTCCTTTGCATATGCAATAAAACCTTAAACTGCTTTTTAGGTGTATATATTCTGGCCTTTACCAAGAAGGCCAATAACGACATTTTCATAAATATATGATTCCTTATCTGGTTTCTCTTTGGTTTTGCTATATAATTTATTCTAAATACTAACTGATCTCTTTGGGTTTTGGTAAATCTCATAACATTATTTCAGTAAAACCCTCTGAGGTGCAGCGGAGGGAGTCTGCATCTCTGATAAAGTGTAACAGGGCGAATAAATGTTACCTGTTCTGTTTAAAGTTGCGACTCACTGCAGTGACACCTGAATAAAGGACTCACTAAGTCGAAGACTAATACATTTTAAATCTTTATTCATGTTGATCGTGCATATTATGACTTCCAGCTAATATAAAGCTCTTAATTCCCTTTCTTAACTTATGTCATAAAGAAAATTTTTAACTGGTTTCAAACCATATATATAATATTTAGTCCAATTATACCCATAAAATCATCAGAAAGAGTGCTAACTTGAAAGTCGCTAACACTCTGAGCTAAAGACCAAAAAAGAAGACGACTGTTCCCAGAATGTTACATCCAAACAAACGAATGGAAAGTTGAGTGGAAGAAAAACTTCAGGGTGGAAAAAAATATGCGTCCGATCAATATCCATGACACAGACCACAGCTGTTGATAATTATGTGTATTCTGTTTTACTGTACGAACGGCTCAGAGTCCATCTGTATAGCTGTGTTCCTCTCCTAGATAAGGCTAATAGATGACATTCTGCTGCCACTTCTTTGTTTCAGTCATGGCAAACAGGCTGGTTCTGCTAGATGAAGGCCGCAATTAAAACAACCCAGACTTTTATAACACCCAAGAAAACCCTCAGGTTGATAACCGTCAAATAATGCTGCATTCATTTATGCAGAATAATTTCTAAGTGTATATAATTTATATACATTACAGAACAGACTGTCTGATGGGTCAAGAATACTGCATCTAAAAATCCCTCCCCAAGGAGGTTGTTTTCATCAGCATTGGTTGGTCTATTTTAAAAATAATATAATTTATGGACGGATTTTGCTGAAATTTTTAGAGAAAAAGTTTTGTGACTGGTTACAAATAATATTTTGGTGATGATCCGGATCAATCCAGGAATTATTTGAAAGATATCATGAAAACAGGTATTAATGTAAGGTGTGAGTCAAACGGAGCTACTTGGCAGAGGTCTGCCTCTCTGCGAGGGCTTTTCTTGTTTTTTCATACTCACATTTCCAAAGAAAGTTGGTTTTTACAAACTGTAAGTCATAATCATCCAAATGAACACGAATCAATGCTATAAATATGTCAAACTGTATGCAATCTTTACAATATTTATATATTCTGGAACTGTTTGTGCAATGAGGGTCCTTAAGTTTAAATTTGAAGGAAAATAAATCAAAGGTATCTATTATTTTGTTCAAGTTATAAAGTGCCTAAAGTTCTCTTCTGGTGACTTAAACAATTAGAAGCAGCTAAATGTGAGAGAAAATGTGAAACTGGTTCCTCCTAAACAGTTAATTCAGTGCCTTCAGTCCCTTGGTCCTACTAGCTTAAATCTAAATACAATCCAACCCGGATTGTTTAAAGGAAGTATTTCTCTTTATCTCACTGATCCCATGTTTGTGATCCAATGTGTGGAGCTCATCCTCGTTTTCTGGTTTTGCTCTTAACTCTTTAAACATTTCATATCTGCCTATTCACAATATTCAAAGAAATAAATCCACCATGAAGGAGGGAGAAGAACAAACCCAATGCCATAAGGGCAAATAGTGAAGAGTGAGAAATGTGCAGATAAGATAAAAACGACCTTTCATCTCCTCAGAAAGCCGTGCAGATACAAACAGAACTGGAATCGGGTCCAGTAGAGGCCCTCCACCTGGTCGGTGGTTATTGACAGCAAAAAAGAGACAAATGTGTTGCACAAACACACCAATAAGAAAGGTCGGCACTGATCACTGTATGCTTCATAGCAGCTAACGATGAAACATCGCCTCACAAAACACTGAGAGGCAAAAAGCATCAACTGGCACTTCTTCCTACAAACGTATGGGTTTTAACTGGTAACATTTTTTTTCCTGATCCTGTAGCACAAACAGGAGCGTTTTATTTTTTCATGGCAAAGTTTGCTCTATTGAATGACAACTTAAAGTTGCGGAGGTAATAAAAAAGGGCACGGGTAAAACAGGCACAGAAGAGGGGCAGCTACTCACAGGAGGAAACCTTGACATTCACTTGAAGGCTGTGCTCAGCAAAGCCCGGCTCTGTCGGCCGTTTGCAGTCCTTTGTGAAGTTGTTTACTATCTCTGCACTCTTTAAGTCAGTTCTCAAGATTTCTGGATTCTCCAGAGAAAGAAGAAAAACATGAGGGAGGATCTGCTGTGCATCAACACTTGGACTGTAGAAAGTCTGGACCTCGTTCAAGGATATAAGCTCCTCCGTTTCTCATCAGTCATCATTTTAAATAAAGATTCTCTAATAATGTAACAATTATCACCCCAGTCATTAAATCAGTGCATGTGGACTAATGTGAGCCTGAAAGCTCTGAAAAGAAGCCAAAGGTCCAGGCGACAGAAGGACTTTAGATCCGTCACTGAGGCTGCTGAGATCGTCTCTCCTCCAGACAACGACAAACCCACATCGACACGACCTCAGCATTTCCATCGTTGTAGTGGACGATAAAAGAATGCTCCTGCAAAAATAGAAATAAATGTACGTTAAAAAACAAAACAAAATATACCCAAACTACAACAGCGATCAGGCTTAACTTTATGACTATCTGCCAAAAAGTGATTTCCTGTCCACAACAACCCAAAGATACTTGACTGGATTAAGGTTTGGGAATAGGGAGAGGCCAAGTTCAGGCTGGATCTCCTTATATTCTGAAGAGAGTCTGGCTGCAGACCTGCAGTGTCAGGACCCAGACCTGCACCGTTAGGACCCAGACCTGCAGTGTCAGGAGGACCCAGACCTGCTCTGTCAGAAAGGACCCGGACCTGCACTGTCAGAAAGGACCCGGACCTGCACTGTCAAGAGGACCCAGACCTGCTCTGTCAGGAGGACCCAGACCTGCTCTGTCAGGAGGACCCAGACCTGCAGTGTCAGGAGGACCCAGACCTGCTCTGTCAGAAAGGACCCGGACCTGCACTGTCAAGAGGACCCAGACCTGCTCTGTCAGGAGGACCCAGACCTGCTCTGTCAGGAGGACTCAGATCTGCACTGTCAAGAGGACCCAGACCTGCTCTGTCAGGAGGACCCAGACCTGCTCTGTCAGGACCCTTCATTGCAGTCCTGCAAAGAGGGGTCTGCACTGTCAGGACAGTAAGTTTATTCCGGAAGTTGTTGAAAAGCATCAAATTAACATCTTATTCTGAAATAACAGTCTAAGTTTCAGTAAATTCCTTCTTACCTCAGTCTCTAAAACTCAACTGTAACTTTTAAAAACCCATAAAACAATTAAAATTACTTTTTTATCATCAAACAGATTATTTTTTTATTACAAGCATTATTATGTTGTTTTTTTGTAAAAGGGTATGAAGTTGTGCCATTTGTTTCATCCCAGCCATGGATCACAAGCTGTTGACAAAATAAAAACAAAGTAAACAAGAACGGCAATAAAACCTTTTAAATATTAATGTCTGACAGATTTGAATGGACAACATCCTGGGTTTAACGACCTACTTGAGCCGTAATGGGTTGAAAACTGAGATATGTAATAAAAAAAAGCTTTAAAAAATTAAAGTCAGAATAATTTCCCCTGCTTTTCATTAGCCGAGCAAACAAATCAAAACACATATGCTCCACCTGGTAACTGGCAGCTCATAAAGTTGGTCAAATAGCAGCGGTGTACGCTTGCAGCAGGACTGGAAAAGAAATGTCACATGTGATATCTCAGTCGGAGCAAACCCGGTCACCCGATCCCCCTCCAAGACTTTCTACACTAAAGCTAGGGGTCAAAGAGGTCACCCAGAGGTCAGGGATGAAAGGGGAGCAGGCTGTAAATGAGACAAATTAACTCAGGCTGACCAGGAGTTTTATTTGAGATGTCTCCATGTCCAATTACATAAGCAGCGGTTTGAGCAGGCAGCTTAAATGAACCTGTCAGCACTGATTTCCACCATATCAGTCCTTAACAACAAGAGATCACTTCAGTTGTGCACAGTTTAGATTCTAACAAGGAGATCAATCAGAGCAAACAGGACAAAGACTATTGCTTGGCCTAGTCGAGACACAGCCAATGTCGATGAGGCTGTGCAACAAAGCCAATAGTAAACTAAAACTGGTTGGCAGAGTTTGGAAACAACATAACATGGATTACATGGCATATGTCACACATTCTTCATTAGTTTTCAGATTTTATGTTCCACTGACTTTTACTCAGCATTCTGGACATTCATGTTATGTAGCCTATCTCAATGGACATTTACAGGATGTAGAAACAGGAGTCATATTATAACATTATTAAGTGTCTAATGCTAGTGTCCTTAATAATTGATGAAGATGGATTGAAAAATAGATATTAGACTGATTTCTCGGCTTCTTTAGCCTTTATAGGCTTCTTTAGCCTTTATAGGCTTCTTTAGCCTTTAAGTAGGCCTACTGGTATCCAAGGGGAAGCACAACCATAACCATGTCTTTGGATTAGAGCTAAAAAATGGTTTGTAGCTGTTAAAAACTAAGATTATTTAGGGATCCACTCATATAGTCCATGCATCAGTTCATACCCTGCAGGGATACTCAACTGTTTGTCATTTTCTATATTCGGCAGCAGATTTGTTGTTGGTTTTAAACTGTGGACTTAAAAACCTGCAACAAATAAACAAGTTCAGACTGTAAAATTAGTAACAAAAAGTAGGACACATTGTTGGTGATGTTCTACTTTTTCCCTCTCAGTATTGTTTTAATCTATTTGCGGTTATGAAGGGAGATGTTTGGAGGTGTATATTCACTTATATTAGATTTAGAGTGTCTAGTGTCGCTAGGATTACCTCTCAATTAACGTAAAACCACTGCAACAGAGTAAACGGTTACATATCTCGGAGTGCTTGGACAGTGAACAAAGCATACAGGCTGTGAAGGACTGGTTGGTGCAAGCCCCATCAATCCTTTTGCCCTTCTAATGGGCAGCTAGGGTTAACACAGTCTGAGGTTAATTACTGGCAAATCAGTTCGAGCATGTGTGTCAGTTAGAGACACATGCATAGCGGACGCTTCTGGGTGCCCCTCTAAGAGCTGGACATCCACCTCATCAATCTTTCTTCTTTGTCTCTGGGCTGAACTAGTGATACCAAAATAAGTGCAAAGTCCCAAGTGACAGTTTTTAATTTAAGTTCCACAGCCTCTGCTCCAGAAATTAACCCTGACAGGCCAGAGGAATCTGCTGGAGTTTGACCTGGATGAAGATGCCTGTCAAAATAGACCAATGTGCCTTCAACGCGTGTGGCTTTTCATGGCGGTTGAAGTTTGAGGGTGAGAAAAGTCCCTGATCTGACTAAAGGCTTTGTCATCAAAATTTTAATAAAACTAAACACTTTATCTACAGGGATGTTAATGCAAAATGAAGTCGATGTATCTCAGTCTTTAAAATCTATATTTCAATAAGAGAAATGCTTGACTGGTTTTGAAATAAAATCACCAGAAATTGCAAAATTTTTGGATTCAAGGGACTTTGCAGACATTTGGGTCGAATTTGTGTTGCTGTAAAATACAATTAAAGGTAAGACAGAGACAGATAAATTAAGAGATTCGGCTTAAGTTACAAAACGTTCACAGTGTACCAGTACTACTTACAACACTGCAAGAGCATTAGGAATCCATTAAATATTCTTGAAAATATTCAGAATGCATCCTAGAAACAGCAATTTGTGGGATGTTTCCTTCTAGAGGCTGTTTGGTGGATGATCTCTTTCCTTAAGAAAGGCTGAGATAAGAGAAGTGTGGGTGACATGTTGGTGGTTAGACTACAGATTTTCCAAATGTAGATGTGTGGCGAAGGACGCCTTTAGGATACTAGTCAAGAGATGGAAATGCTTCCTGGATACTGTGGAGTGACAACCTGACCTGGTGCGTTTACTGGTGGAGAAAGGAATCATCACTAGTTACTAAGGATCAGCTAGCCTTTCATTGGAAAGATGGATAATTAGCAGGGCCATTAGTACACATTAGGACACAGAGGTTGTGTCCTCCGTATTTTTTCTATTTTAATTTTTTTGCTTTAATTGTGATATAAACTAAAAATAAATCACAATATTATTTTTCATAGTAGAAATATGTTCAAATGCTGGCTGTCCTTACCAAGAGTGAACAGGTTAGGCACTCATCCACATAATAGTTTAAACGTGAAAAATCTCATTTCAATTATATTGGAATGTCTTTTGTGACACATTTCTAAACACTTGTAGATAAAGACTTCACAAGAAAAAATACATTAAATCAACTTTATAAGTCATAAAAATGTTCTTTTTTCTCCTTAAGACTCTGTATTAAATAGCTGAATTAAAAACATTATGGATGAGCATGCCGTTGAACCACCCTAGAAGTTCTGACTCTTATCCTCAGTATTTTTCAGTCCCTGCACATGGCTCTGATCAGGAGGAACAGGACCAAAGAAACACCCTTGACGCATGTGGAGTGGAGGAAACACCCCACCATGCTACAAGGTGGAGGAAATGCTCCCAGGCTGAAGCCCCCGACAGAGATATCATGATAAAGGAAAATCACAAGGACTATTTTTAGAGTTTAGCAGGTTCATTTCAATGGCAGATCGGACAAGCAGTAAATGTTGATTAAATAATGAACACTGAAACAGACATTTAGAAGTTACCATATTAAAGAATTTCTTTTTTCTTTTTGTAAAATAACCCCCTAAGCCTAAAGAGTTAAAATGCATCAGGAAGCAACAAAAAAATACAAACATAAATTTAATATAATTTTCAGCACCACGGAGAGCGCAGTGAAAATGTGACAGCTAGCAGGGTGCCTTTTCTAAAAAAAAATTGACCAAACAATCTGTCTTTACATTGTTCTTTAACAAAACAATTCACTCATATTGGTTGAAGTTCTGTCATATCGTATATTTGAAGATTCAAGCCAGGGGAATTTAGTGGGTTTGCTCAAATTTGTATACATTTATTCAATAAAATAATAAATCAAAATGTTTTTGCTTTAAAATGTGTGGGTGGCTGGTCCTGGTAATCTATGCATAAAAAAACATTTTGAAGCAAGACCTTATTACATTATTGTAACAGCTGCCATGCTCTAACAGTCAAAGCAAACGTTAACAAGATGAAAAAAGTAGTTAAAATCTTTCCATTCCTGCGTTTAATTTCCTATGTTTTCTTTGTCATAACAATATATCTGTTTGTAAATATTTTAATAGAAACTATATCAGGGTAAATAACCTTGGACTGTAAAGTCCAAAACCTTCTTTCTTTTCCTCTCTCAAAACCACACATCATATCATGTAGTAATTAAATCACCTGTACCTTAAATTAAGTTGGAAACCTTCATTAAAGGACTTATGAATGCAGAGTGAATAACCACTCGTCGGATTAGGTCGTTCAAGGTGTCCGACTTTCCGCTGTATTAAACCGCGGTCAGAGGTGAGATGGGAAAAGGATTCATTTAAAAGTTACATTAATCACCGCCTTGCCAAATCAAACTGGGATAATCACCTGCAACTGCTCTACTCAA